GTCCTGTCCCTGCCCAGGGGCTGAGAGTTGGTCACCCAATCTCAGCTTGAAAAACAACCAGTATATGGATAATGCAGACCAGCTCTGTGCAAAAGACAGAAATCTGAAATCCAGGCTGACACTCCTCTTCTGGTGGTTCACTTTGTGGTTGGAAAATTCTTGGAGGCTGAAAACACACCATCCTTAAACTCAAGAGTTCTCAAAACCCAGGAAATTCCAAAGTCAAGGTTCCTTTTGCAATAATCACACACGCTGCTTCCGTGATTTGGGTACACACAGCCTTTCTCCCCGTTTTGCTCGGGAACATCATGAAGTGCACAGGACGCGACACAGCCTGGAGGCTCAGCCTCTCAGACCATTGCTGCGATATTCAGAAGTCGCATTTCCTCCCCAGTGGAGCACCATCTCACTCTCACTTCTCACACTCAGTTCAATGCCTGGTGGGGTTTTTGTTTTGTTTTTTTAGTTCACTCTGAAATGCCATACAAAATATAGTAGATGAAGGCTTATTTGTAAGAAAGAAAAATGCTGTCAAGAATTCAGACTATCGCTATAAAGGTTAAGACAGAACTTTGGGGAATACTAGTTTTAAGAATGAACCAGGATATCTTGACAGCTGGGGCTTTGGATGTCACTGCCCACCATTGGTGTCATGCCTTCCCGGAAGGTCAGGTGCAGAGGAAGAAGAGGGGAGCACAGGATTAGCTCCCTGCCCCTCAGCCCCAGCTCTGCTTATAAATTGTTGCCTCACCATTAGCACCTCCTGCCCCTCCATCCTTCCCGGTCTTCCTGGGGCCAGAGGGGCCAAATCCTCTTTACGCACAGCCTAACTAAGCTCTCCCTTCTACGTAAGCTCCAGTTTCAGACCAGCTCCAAGGCCCTGATCAATCACCCCGTCCTCTCTCTCTTCTTCAGTCTCCACATTCACTGTGCATTCAAACAGTCACTATCTTACCCCACCAATTACCTTTATGACTTCCTCTTCCCCCCAAAACTCCATGAGGGCTGGATGATGTCTTACACTTCTTAATGACTGCCACATACTTTGCATACAGCAGCCACTCAACAAGTATTTTTAGCTGATTGATAGAATTATAGCTTATAGGATTAAAAATCTACGCCAATGAGATCTTTTTCCTAAAAATGTTCTACTGGAATTCTTAGTCCACCATGTCGATCCCTGCACAAGAAATAGAGCCGTCTTGTCCTAGGTAACACTACTTCCTTTTGCTGCCAATCATCTAGATGCTCTTTACAGGTGATCACGCTGGTGAGAAGAGGAACATTTAGGTCAATTCTTCTTCCACGTCCTATGACTCACTTCTGCCTTGACACTATCTACATCACCGGTAAATCCTTGGTGTTTCCCAAATCAGTTCTAAGGAGGTGCCCGGCAAGTTATGGGGCCTTGAACAGAGTCCTTGGTTTGAGTCCTGGTCCAATCACCTAGTAGCTATAATATCTTTGAAAAATCATGCAAGTGTCTCTGAACCTGTTTCTTCATCTTTAAAATAACTTGGAGGATTGTTGTAAAACTCAGTGAGATGATATTAATGTAAAAATGTCTGAGACGTAGTAGTTGTTCAATAAATGGTTAGTTATTATTATTATTATTATTAAACGGAAGAGGAGGGTATGGAAGTATTTCCTAATTTTTATTTTCCTTCCATTTTTCTTCTTGGGGCGTGAAATGCCCCCATTAGGGGCTCCCTTTTTCTGAATGCTGTGAGCCAAAAGATTCATTTCTGTCAGTCTGGGATGATTTAGATATGGACCTGTCTTAAGGCATGGAGATGAGCGACTATAGACACCACAGGGGCAGCAATTTTTCACTTTTGTCCAAAAACAGTTCCTGTTACATATTGGACCCTTGGTAAATATCTGTTTATTGAACAAACCCCTTCCAATCCAAAGCCACATGGGATGCAGTTACCTCCTGGACTTACTCATCATAGTATCCAGAGCCTGGTCCTGCCTCTCTTATTTATCCTGCAGGCATCTCCTGCTGATGTTTAAAATAATAGTGTTATTTCTGTGGCTCTGACAGACAGTACCAGGGGATTATTCACAAGAAGCCCTGGGAGACCAGAGGCTGCCATGGGTATACCAGGCACCAGCGCCAGCCCCACCAGCAAGCACTGGGGTCCTTGAGTCAAACAGGTGACAATTCTGCAGGTCCGACTTGCAAATAAATGCACAAAAGGGTGGGGATCAGCTTTTAGGATCGCTCTGATCCCAAGCATGAAAAAAAATACCAATTTTCTAGAAGTACGCCTTATTTGAGCAAAGCTAAGCAACAACATGCTTTTTCTTTTCATAATACTGGTAAAAAAATATAAAATCCAATTCTAAAAATTGCCTACACTTCAATTTTGAAATGCCATTCTAGGGGGTGAGAGTTGGGGAGAAGCCTGCCAAATAATATCTCCAAACTGGAATGGAAACAAGCATTATTTTAAAGTGGCCCTAGGCTTGTTTTTCCTTCTAGAACAAAGGATAGGAGACCAGTAAGCAGCCACACAAATATGAATTACTCTCCAACATGTGCTGCATTAGTGATTCAGGCCAGGCAGCAGGCAGCACAGGCACAGGGAAGGAAAGCTACGTGTTTCCAGGCCAGCGGCTTGCAGGCCGGGCAAAGACCCAGCAAGGACTAAACTACCCTGGGTGATAAGGAAAGGCCACTCGATGTGGTTTCATTCGGGAGACAATAGAGCCCACCTCATCGGCATATACATTCCTGAACCAAATATTGATTGCATTTTTCTCACCGTTAAACCAAACTGTTATGGCTTCTGGCAAGTGGTGATAGTGGGAGTGGAAGATAACAGGCCTTTACTTCTACTCGATGCATGTCTGTATTGATTTAGACATCTCACAAACAGCATGTATTACTACATGGTTGAAAAATACATAAGTATATGCCCCCAAATGAAGCATGCCCATCGATAAGGGGAGCAGTGAGCAGTTTCAACACTTTAAACTCGCCATGTCACCCCCTTCACCTTCCTCTCCCCTGCAGATGACAACCCAAACCCTTGGTAATGATGGCATCGACTGGTCTGCATATAGCAATCTGGAGAAGGTCAAAGTCTTAACTTGGTCAGCTCTTCAATGGGCACAGTCTGTATAGACAGTTAGAGGTGGAACACACATGCTAGCTTCATTCTGTTCCCAGCATGGCTGTGACCACCTGGCTCTGGACCACAAGAGGCACGGGGGCCCTAACAAGCCCAAAGGACCTGTCTCCTCAGTCGTAGAAGGGAGAGCTCCGCGATCTGTTTTTAAAGGATAAGGCAAGGAGCTCCAGCTGGGCGATTGTGCTATGGCAGTAATGCATTGGAGCAGCTTCCACACGTGCTTGTTACTAGCAGCCAACTCCCCCTTGTGAATCACAGGCTCTGAGGCTATGGTGCAGAGTCATGTGGCCTTTTCTAGGAGGTGTGACCTGAAGTTACCATCACAGCCACCACATGTATCTCCGGGGTGTCCTCTTGCAGCCATTGTCCCATGAGGCTGCCTCAGCCATCCTTCTAAAGTGGTCATGTGCTCAAGTCACCACCAGCTCTTTCCTGCGTCCTGGCGGAGCCCACACACCCTGGGGGCACTACCTTGATGAAGGAGGCAGACCACAAAGAGCAGAACAATGGACAAGCAAGGTAGTGAGCGTCAGAACTGCCAGGCAGGAAAGAAACAAGGCGACAGGGAGTAGCTTGGGGAATTCATGTAGACTGTGCCCAGGGAAGGCCTTTCTGAGGTTGCCTGGATGGGGACACCCGGGGGATGAGAAGCTGGTGGACAACTGCAAAGCTCGCTGCAAAGCATTTAGGCCGTGCCGATGAGCCCAAAGGCCCTGAGGCGGGAATGCACACGCCATGGTCAAGGCACAGAGAGGCTCTCCGCTCTCCTGACCTCCAGGCCGGTTTAGTTACCTACCTACTGGTATCTTGATTCTCAGGTGTAACGGGGCACCCCAGCCTTCGTGTATCCAACCCAATTCCTGATAACCCTCCACCCCTAACTTGCACAACCCTGCTCTTCACATATTATTCCCCATCTCAGTGAAAGGCAACTGCATTTTTTCCACAGCTCAAGCCAAAAACGTAGAAGTCATCCCAGACTCCTCTGTTTCTCTCAGATCCTATTGCCTTACTCTCAGGACAGAGCAGGCTCCCTGCGACAGCCTGCCATTCCCATTGCTGTCAGCCTGGTCTTGGCCGTCTTGCACCTAGACCGCTGTCAGAGCCTTTATTTGGTCTTTCTGCTTCCTCCCTGCCTGCTCCACAATACAGCCTCCGCACAGCAGACAGAGGGACATGTGGCTCAAACTCCTCTGATCGCATCCCCTCTCACTCAGGGTAAGGCCAAGCCCTTAGAAAGGAGTTTAAGGCCTCACATGGTCAGCTGCCAGCTGACCTCATCTCCTACTACTCTCCCTCTTGTCACACCACTCTGGTCACATAGCTCTTCAAGCTGACCAAGCACCCTCCCCCCTGAGGGCCTCTGCATTTGCTGGTCCCTCTGCTGACCCCATGACTCGCTTCCTCTCTTCCTTCAGGTCTCTGCTCAAATATCATAGAGAAAGGAAGTGCTGCCTTTAAGCAAATGGGTGAGTGCATTCTAAACAGGGATGATCTGGAGCTTATCTAAGAGAAAATGAATTGAAGGATTAAAAAAACAACAACGTGGCTATCCATATAAAATAGTGGTTCACCAATAGTGGTTACTCTTGTGTGGACCAGTGACTGAAAGGTGTACCTGTGATGTTCTATTTTTTCATCTGCATGGCTGTAGTAGGTATTATATACTCAGCTTGTGAAAAGCCATCGAGTTGTATACTCGTGCTATACACACTCTTGAATGTATATTTAAACGTCAATAAAGCATATGCCCAAGGCACACACCTTTCTTCAACATTTGAGAGCAGTAATTAGTATCCTGATGAAACAAACCTAAACAACTAATTTTCATTTCCTCTCTCTATGCAAATAGAGACTTACCATCCCACGGTTGCAGTGGTCAGGATCATATCAAACAGCAATATTGATAAACCAGCTGTGATCATCTGCAGAAATAATTCCAACAAAAAGGTCATCAGAGTGGTAGGACTTCAGGAACCTTCTCCACAGTCATTTCTCACAAGCTTAGCTCATGTTAGTTCAGATTCCTGACATTAACATTTTTTCCCCTTCATGTCCTTTCCCCACACTTCCTCGTCTCCTGTATTTAGTGTTGCATCTGAGCAGAGCATTTGGTGCGGAAAATGCTAAATCCTGGTCTATGTTGGAGGTGGGAATCTGCAAAGAAGCATTCAAAAAAGGAGGCAGAGAGCCCACATCTCACTCATCTCTCTCCAGGGCAGGGCAGAGTGCGAGCACATTTCCATCTCGTCTCAGCTGTGCAGAATTAATCCCCAAGGTCAGTGGTGCTCATTAACCTGTTCCCAGACACTCCAGATAAAAAACGATCTGTCACCCTGCGTTTGCCAATAGCACTCTTTCCCCTGTCCTAAGGCTTCGGTCTTTCTGTCCCAAGTCACACATTCTAAGAAAACAGTTGCTTCCTGGGGAAGAGAGCAATTAAATCATTAATTAATTATTTGCAAATAGTGGGGGTTACTCCCACATCCGTCTGAGCAAAGAATTAGAGAAAAGTCTCTTAGGAATGTCAGTAACAGAACTCTGCAGTACCTCTAACCTGTTGGCACAAAGAATGTATGTGACACTATTTTGTCAACACTTAGAATGCCTGCTAAGGAAAATATGTTTTCCCCCCAGTATTCTGCATTCTGGAATGCCAAACAGCTTCCACTGGGAAGGTGACCCTTAAGACTGGCTTTCTTGTCTAGCCAGTGTGGCTCAGTGGTTGCGCCACCCTATGAACCAGGAGGTCACGGTTTGATTCCCGGTCAGGGCACATGCCCAGGTTGGGGGCTCAATCCCCAGTGTGGAACATGCAGGAGGCAGCCGATCAATGACTCTCTCATCAATGATGTTTCTATCCCTCTCTCTCCCTTCTTCTCTCTGAAATCAATAAAGATATATTTAATTAAAAAATTAAAAAAGACTGGTTTTCTTGCAAGAAGAAGTAAGAAGTAGGCTGGGTCACTCAGGCTGGATGCCCTCTCACTGACAGGGGCTTCACATGCCGTCACACAGGCCTCTTCAGGTCTCCAAGCGAGCCGATGGTCAGGAGGAAAGTACGTTTACTGAGTTTCACCGTCATTCATTTACCATCTCAAAAAAGTCTGGAAATATAAACCGGAACCCTCGGCATATAAACTTTGTGAGATTTTGGAATCTTTGTAGTTTACCTATTTGGGCTCACTTTCTATTTACTTCCTTTATTGATTAGTAGCCAAAATCCCTGACAACAAAAATGACCTGTGTTCTCTTCAGGAACAAAAAAGGAGTGGCAACAAGGTCGGCGAGTCGATTGCAAAGCAGAATCCAAAGGGCGAAGAAAGAAAAATTTCAAAGTGCTGGCTGGTGGGCTTTATCTTAAAAAGTATGACGAATGGTACCCATTCCTCCACCCCACCCCCTTTTTGTTTTACTTAGGACCTTTGCATCTATGGTATAAATAAAGTGGGCCTAAAATTTTATTATCTTGCAGTGTAACTGTCTGGTTTGGGAGACAAGGCTATACAAACCACATCAGTTAGTTCATCATCAGCTTCCCTTGTTTTCCTCTAAAGGGTAAAGCTGATCTTTACTATGGAAACTTCTAGCTGGGGGCCATCGTTACTGGCCACTGTCCTAATCAACTCTTCTCTTTCTTTTTGATTCCAATTTGCCATTTTCAGTTTTCCCAAACACGTATTTCATCTAGGTTTTCCAACTTACTACATTTAGCTGTTCAGAAAAATATTATTGTTATCTCATTTGTACCCATTTTTATCACCTTCCCTTTTATTCTTACTTTTACTGGGACCCTTCACTAAATGCCTGAAAGAGTCCCTAATTCTTCACCACTGTCCTGTCTCCTTTGCTCCTTTTTACCAGCTCCCTTTTCTCTTCTTTGCCAACTTTATCGAGGAATACTTGATAAACACAATTGTGTGTATTTAAAGTGTGCGGCGTGATGATTTGATACACATATATATTCACGGCCTTCCTTGATCAGTTTCTCTTACTCTGACTGGCTCTTTCATGACTTTCAGTCTAGTCGGTGAAGCTGACACCTCCCACAGGCCCTGCAGCTGTCACAGCCTAGGACGTGTGCCTCTGTTTCTCTGTGAGTTTCTTTAGCTTAGGAAAAGCCTCATCTGCTCTGAGACACACAGCTGGCCTGCTTGTACCTATTAACTGTACCTTTTGCCAAGAAAAACACAGCGTAAAATGTTCAAACCAGCCCTTCCTTGAAAATAAGGTTGGTTTAATAGCCACCCTGGTGCCTTTGCCATCTGCTGCTTCCTGGAAATGTTTGTATAGTCTCCTGCCTTTCTCCTGGGCTGCTTTTCCAAACTTCTCTAAATTTTTATCTCTCAAGGAGCAAATGTTCTGCTGGCTGACTCTCTGAAACTTCACAAATAGGTCTGTCTTATTTCTATAGAGAATGTATAGTGAATTTGCATGCACTATAGAGCTACTGTAAAGTTACATGGGTTACTTTTTAATCTTTCCAGTAAGAAGTCTCAATTTCTTAGGCGTCTCTCCTTTATTTCCATCAACAGCCCTAGCAGGCAGCAGCTCTTTTTGCAGGCATTCTCTCTCTCTCTGCCCCCCTACCCCCAACACACACACACACACACACACAAAACACAGAGTCGCCAAAGTTCTACCACTAACACCCTGCTGAGGGGCAGTTGGTCAGCCTGACTTACCCACTTAGTGACAGACTCACACATCCACCTCACCGTGTGTGAGGTTCAAACTCATGCCTCAGCAGATGACAGGTTTCTATATGCCATTGCTGTCAGGGCTGCTCAAGAACATCAAAGGCGTGAATGAAAATCTGCTCATGCCAAGAGCCCGCTCCACTTCTAACTCCATCAAGGAACAAACAGAAGCCAGGAAAGGCCGACTGTGTGAGTCTGGGTACAGAATATCTCACGTGCAGTCACCTAAGGGTGGAATTCGAGAGGTGGAAGGGACTCCCTAAGCACAGAGGTGGGGAAACTGTGACCAGAAATGGTGTGTGATTTGCTTCAGGGCCCTGTGAGCAGTAGAATCAATGCTCTCACTCCCAGGTCAGCCTCCTCTCAAGCCAGAAACTCAGCAAGGGTCTACCAAACTCCATGCTGAAAGCAGGGACTCAAGCAGGTATTTGCAAACCTATGTTCATAGCAGTAATACTCACGATAGCCAAAATTTGGAAGCACCCCAACTATCCATTGAAGGATGAATCAACAAGCGAAATGTGACGTATATACACAATGGAATATTATCCAGCCTTAAAAAGGAAGGTAATTCTGCAATATGCTACAACATGAATGAGCCTTGAGAACATTATGCTGAGTTGAACCAGACACAGAAGGACAAATACTGTATGATTCCACCTACATGACATACCCAGAGGAGTCAAACTCACAGACACAGAGTAGAATAGAAGTTACCAGGGCCTGGGAGGAATGGAGAGTTAGTGTTTAATGGGTACAGAGTTTCAGTTTGGGGTGATAAAAAAGTTCTGGAGATGGATGTCAGTAAAAGCATGAACTTTTAAAAAACACACACAACCTTTAAAATGGCTAAAATATGTTCATGTAAAAGACTTCAGGTTACTCTTGGAACTTGACATTCAAGAGGTACAAAAGTAGCAGTCATGACTACCAAGTGTTCTTGCTTACAAAAAGCATTTTTAAAAATACACATTTTTTTCCCAAAGAAGAAAGAGTACTGTGGTCTGAGGAATGTCTCCTTCGCACACGCAGATCCGAGTAACAAACAACAGGACCTGCCACAGGCGGAGGGATGCCAACAACAGCAGAACTCAATACATTGTGTCTGCAGCGGGGCTTTGAACTTCCTGGCTTTGTCAATGGATGTCACAACCTCTGTGTTATTTAAACAGAGTTTGGTATTTAAGGCAGGTCTGGTTTGTTTTTTAAACATTCATTTCAATCCTAAGACAATTTGTTGTTGGTTTTTTTAAAGAAAATAAAGAGGAGTGGATGTTGGTGGGAACCTGCCAGATAGTCATGTATTTGGGGAGAATCAGAGATTCAGGCTTGTTATTTGTTACTGACTTGTTGTTGCTGTTGTTGTTTACATACATATGAATTTCTTTAAAAAGTGACTGACTGCAGCATGCCTAGGAAGCCCTTCCCTGTGACTGTCTTAGTTGTGGCCCATGCACACATCCCCCACTTAAACTGGCCCTAGTTTTTCAAACACAGTTTCGTACCATCATCTTGCCTTTGCTCAGCAAGTTCTCCGCCTGGGGCAAGGCCTCCCCACACAATTTCTACTCACCCAAATCTCTGCTTCTTTGACCAATCACCTCCATGGGGCTAGAAAGAGCTCCACAGAGAGAATGGTGACTAGCTTTCTGGTTCCTAGTACAAAAATGCCAGGGAAGATTCTGATTGGCTCCTGGACCAACTGACTGTGGCCTAGGAGGAAGAGTAATGTAAAAACATGGAAGCTCACCCTTGAACTTCATGTTGGAATGGAGAAGGGAACACTTCCCTGGAGGAAGGCAAGGACAGTGCTGGGCAGACAGAACAGCAGATGTCTTCTATAGCCTTGCTATAAATATCCTCTGGGAGCTTGCAGGAAATGCGAGATCTCAGGTCCCACTGCAGTCCCACTGAGCAACATCTACATTTGAAAAGATCCCCAGGTGGTGTGCACACACATTAAAATGTGAGGAGTTCTGCTCTACACCCTCCAATTCCAGCACTATCTCAACACCTGCTCTGTCCAGTTGGTATTGCCACATCTTCCAGGAAGGGCAGACTCCAGCTTTCTCACAAACTGCAGAGCTGGAGGCGTGTGTCAGACTGTCCTGGAGTCTGTCTGCATCGCAGTCACATATGAATGTTACTAATCCAGCCTTCCTTTTAGCTTAAAGAGTAAATCTAATAAAAATTTACAATTTGAGCACGGCTGGTGTGACTCAGTA